AGTTGCAAAAGTTGAGATGGAGTGACTCGTTACTTAGTTGCTCACTTTTGGAAGTTATAGGGCATTGGTCGAGGTCGAGTTGTTTAAGGGTTTCCGCCAGCACTCCTGGCTTTGATCCTCCAAGGATCGATTAGGCGAGGCTAAGGTGAACCACCAAGGGGTTTGTTTTGTCCTTAGCTTATTGTGCTAAGTGCCTTGGAACTGAGGTGGCCAAGGCTGCCAAGTTCTTCGAGGCTATGGGTAACACTATGCCGCCGAAGTGGTCAGGGTGAGGGGCTAGGCTGGCCTTATGCCACCGAAGTGTTTGAGGCAAAGGATCGAGCTGGCCTTATGCCGCCGGAATGCTCGGGGAGAAGGGCCAAGCTGGCCTCATTCCACCGAGGTTTTTGAGGCGAATGGAAGATGCTGACCGACCTGGCTGGTTATTATAGAGGTGCCCTTGGGGTCATCCTTCGAACGACCATTGTTGCCTAGGCACGCTTGGCTAAGGACGCCGTGCCTTTACTATTTGGTGAGGTGCCTTATTGTTACTTTGTTGTGGGTCGAGGACGTTGGCCTGTGTTTGTAGCCGAGGTCCTTTTTGTCCCTACCTCGATTATGGAGGTTGGGTGGACGCCTAGCTCATCGGTCGGCTATGCAACCAAAAGGTCTTAGCCACTTAACAACTTTTACACTAAGAGTTGAGTTGAGGTGAGAAACTTTGCACTAACATTCACTGTTCAGCCCATAGGGGTTACATTCATTGATAATACATTTAGAGGTTCTCCGAGTTCCATGTCCAAGGGATGGGTCTTCCGCTGAGGTGTTAGAGCTGAAAGGTTCCGGGGCCGAGCTTGCCTATGCCGGGCTCGGGCACCATGACTTTTCTAAGGACAAGGTCTCCTTCTCGGTAGTGTTTTTCTTTCACCCTTGATTTGTAGTAGCGAGCTACCCTCTGTTGGTGGGCTACTACTCTTATCTGCGCATGCTCTCAGACTTCTTCTATAAGTCCAAATTGGTTATGAGTTCTTCATTGTTTTCAACCTCATTGTATGCTTCAATACGGGGTGTCGACTAGCTGGTCTCTACTAGAATGACGACCTCAGTGCCATATGTCAGGTTGAATAGAGTTTCACCAGTGGCTGTCTGAGGTGTAGTCTGGTATGCCTACAGAACGTTGTTCATTTCGCTTTACCATAGGCTTTTGGCTCTGTCAAGTCTTGTCTTCTGCCCATCTAAGTGTTAATAGGGTGGTGGGTGGCCAATGGGAGATGTTGGCATGTCTCTGGCACTTGTCACATCTTCATACCAACTCGGCTGCATCTTTTTGTACTGTCAGCCAAAAGTATCCCTACCTCAGCACTTTTTGGGCCAAGTCTCTGCCCCCGAGGTGGTTGTCACAGATGCCTTCGTGGATCTCTCGGAGGACGTACTCGCCCTCCTCCTGACGGAGGCGTTGGAGGTAGGGTAGGGTCAATGATCTTCGGTACAACTTCCCTTCAAGAAAGGCATAGTGTGTGGCCTACCTTCAGACTCATTTGGCCTTGTTTTTGTCATCCGGTAGCTGCTCTGTTGTGAGGAAGGTGAGGATGGGGTCCATCCATGATGGCTTGGCTTGCACTATGAGAACTTGGGCTTCTTCAATGGAGGGTCAATCTAGCTTCTCCATGCGGACTGTGCAGCCGAGGACCGAGCCCAAGGTGCTTGCTAGCTTGGAGAGGGTGTCAGCTCTCATGTTCTCAAACTGCAGTACTTGCTACATGGAGAAGAGTTGGAAGAGGTGGGCTAGTTCTTGCACTTTGGCAAGCTACTTGGCCATGCTCTATTCTCTGGCTTTGTATTTGTCGTTCACTTGGTTCACCACTAGTTGGGAGTCACTGAAGGCTTCGATGTGTTGTAAGCTGAGGTCCCTCATGAGCTACAGTTCGGCGAGGAGGGATTTGTACTCGGTTTCGTTATTGGATGCCAAGAAATCAAACCTCAATGCGTATTCCACTTCGGTGTTGTCTAGGTTGAGAAGGATGAGGTTGGCACCATTTCCTTTAGAGTTAGATGATCCATCCACAAACAACTTCTAGATCGACAAAGGCTCCTCGGCTAGCTAAGGTCTTTGTTCCTCTAGGGCTTGGCCGAGGTGCTAGCTAAAGGTGCACTCCATCACAAAAGTCTGCCAGGGCCTGTGCTTTGACTGCTGGCATCGGCTGGTATTGGAGGTCGAATTCAAACAGCTCGATAGCCCACTTGGTTAACCGCCCCGTCGTCTTAGGCTTGGTGAGGAAGGCTTTGAGGAGTTGGTTAGTTAGAACCGTGATCGTGTAGTTTTGAATGTACGGCCTGAGTTTCCTGGCTAAGAGCACCAAGGCGAAGGCCAACTTCTCCACCTCAGGATATCTAATCTCGACATCGCAGAGAACCTTGTTGACATAATAGACCAGCCTCTGCACTCCGTCTTCTCTTATGAGTATCGAGCTGATGGCCTCATCCCCAACCAACAAGTATAGGTACATGATGTCTCCCAGTAGGGGCTGAGTAAGGAGGGGTGGCGTGGCAAGGTACTGATTCAGTTCTTCGAAGGTGAGCTGCCATTCTTCAGTCCACTGGAAGTCTTTCAACTTCTTGATGGCTTGGAAGAAGGGTAGGCAGCGGTCAATTGACTTCGACATGAAGTGATTGATGGCGACCACTTGGCCGGTTAGCCTTTGAGTCTCCTTGATTAACCGAGGTGACGCCATGTCCAGTATAGCTTGGATCTTCTCAAGGTTGGCCTCTATGTCTCGTTGGGTGATGACGAAGCCTAGAAATTTGCTTAACGTGACTCCGAAGGTACACTTGCTGGGGTTAAGCTTCATATTGTGCCTCCACAAGGTGTCGAAGGTTTTGGCCAAGTTTGAGGTGTGGTTCTTGGCCTTCGGGCTCTTCACCACCATGTCATCCATGTAGGCTTTGATGTTCCTTCCCATTTGGCCCTTGAAGATTTTGTTTATGAGGTGCTGGTAAGTGGCCCCGACGTTCTTGAGGCCGAAAGACATGACTCTATAGCAATAGGTCTTGTGCTTGATGATGAAAGAGGTCTTCTCCTCATCCTCGGGGTGCATTTTGATCTAGTTATATTCGGAGAAGGCATTCATGAGGCAAAGTGGCTCGTACCCAGTGGTGGCGTTGACGAGGTGGTCTATCCGTGGCAATGGAAAACTGTCTTTTGGGACAGGCTCAGTTGAGGTCTATGAAGTCAATACAGATCTGCCATTTCCCATTACCTTTCTTCACCATAACCACATTTGACAACCAATTAGGGTAATGTACCTCTCAAATGAATCCCGCATCGAGTAGCTTATCAACTTCCTCTCATATGGCCTTCCAACATTCTAGTGCAAAGTTCCTCTTCTTCTACTAAACTAGCCTAGAGCTCAGGTTCATGCTTAGCCTATGAATAATGACTAAAGGGTCAATTCCGGTCATGTTAGTGGCAGACCAAGCAAAGATGTCGACATTAGTTTTGAGGAAACTTGCTAGTTTGGATAGGCTCTCCGGGGGAAGGTTGGACCAAGATGAGGAAACTTGGGTTGTCTTTTCGGGCTCGACCTCGTCTAGGGGAACCAAGATGAGGTCCTCAGCCAGCTGGCCTCAACTCACTGGCTCCTCCCTGAGATCGAGACCCTCTAGTGGTAGCTTCTTTATTCTTGCCCTTCAGCGCTGTCACATAGCACTGGCGGGCTACTTGTTGGTCTCCCAGAACGACTCCGACGTCATGCTCAATGGGGAATTTAAGGGCGAGGTGGTTGGAGGAGATGGCCGCCTTAAGTGCATGGAGGGTCGGCCTCCCAATGATAGCATTGTAGGGGGGAGTCGATCCTCATGACTAGGAACTCGTTTATCCTTGTCACCTTCCGAGACTCTGTCCTTACCATCACAGGTAGGGTGATTCTTCCTTCCAGCTTTATGACATTGCCAGAGAAGATGAGTGGAATGTCGACCAGCTAGAGGCGCTCTGGCACCAACTTCATCTTCTGAAATGCTTCATGAAAGAGGATATCTACTGAGGAGCCACTATCCACTAGCATTCTCTTTACCATGAAATTTGCTATGATAGCCGATATCACTAGCACGTCGTTGTGGGGGACTGTGACACCCTTCAGGTCCTCGTCCGTGAAGTAGAGGGCTTCTTCCTTCTTCGGCTTCTTAGGAGTTGGCCCCTAGATGTTAAGTTGCCTGGCATAGGCCTTGCGGGCCGATTCCGAGCCCCTGACTATGACGTCGATGACGTCGAAGAGTTGCTGATGCTGATGTTGCTACTAATAGGAGGACGAGGTCCCAGCCTCGCCTCCGATGTACTACTTAAGATGACTGTGGCGGATGACGGACTCTATCTCGTTTTTCAACTCATAGCAGTCCTTGTCGTGGCTGGTGTCACGGTGATAGTTGTAGTATTTTTCTGGATTTCCCCTCTTGGGGTTCCTCTTCATCTTCTTTGGCCACTTCATGTATTCTTCCTTCTCGACCTGCATCAAGATCTGGGTCCAAGTGGAGTTGAGTGGTGTGTATTGGTTGTAAGCCAGGCCCGGGGTCGGTGGCTTCTTGTTGTTGCTGTTGTTGCTGCAGTGGTCCCCGTTCTTTCTTCTCTTCTCGGGACTTCCATGCTGGCAGTCAATCTCTCCCACCTGACGGTCTCCAATCGAGGCTTCCTCGGCCGTAATGTACTTCTGTGCCTTCTTGAGGAACTCGGCCTTAAACTTCGGTGCAATTTTGGCTACTGAGCACCTAAGGGTTGAGCCGGGGAGGAGACCGTTAATGGCGGCGTGCATAGAGACCATTGGGTCGAGGTCTTGGACCTCGATCTCTTCCTTCTTGAAGTGGTCAATGTACGACCGTAGGCTCTCTCCTCGCTTCTGCTTGACGGGCATTAGAGAGACGATGCTCTTTTGACTCCGTTTGCTACTGATGAAGTGGGTGAGGAAGAGGCTGGCGAACTTCTCCCATGAGCTGATGGAGTGAGGAGGGAAATCGGAGAACCAGCACTAAGCTGCCCCCTTGAAGGCCGCCTGGAAAGTTTGGCACGTTAGGGCATCGAAGTACCTGTAAAGGAGCATGAACGCCTTGAAACTTTCTAAGTGGTCATCAAGGTCAGTCATCCCGTCGTACATTTCCAATGCTAGAGCTTTGAAGTGTGGGAGAAAGGGCTTGGAGATGATGTCTGAGGTGAATGCATCCATCATTCCGGAAGGATGGCTCTGGCTGGCCAGGGCATCAGCTTGGCTCTCTCTAACTTGGTAGAGTTCGTCCTTGATGGCTTCAAGTTGGGCTTGCAGGTCCGCAATTTGGGGGTCGAGGGGGGCTTGTGCCTCGTTCTGGTCCTCGCGGACTCGGTGGGGGTCAGCCTAGACCCTAGAGTACTCGGATGCGGGGCCACGTTCATTCCTTTTGGCCCATCGGTTGTTCAGAAGGTCTCGAAGGTCTAAGACCTGTGAGGGAGAGGCGTGGCGTCGGCCCTTGGCCCTCGGCCCTTGAGAGGAGTTTGTGATGACCCGAGCGCTCGTCTTTGTCCTTGGGATTCTCTCTTCGGTGACAATGATGTTGTTTGGAGTCTTAACCATCATTGCGAGACTGTGTTGATTCTTCCCCCCTCCGACTAAGGGGTCTGGAGGCTCTTGATAGCTGTCTAGCATGTGGCTGTTGTCAGATTCAGAAGGTTCAGCCTGGGGAATGTTGGCGGGGTCGAGGGCTAGCGGGTCCGTGGACTCACATTCGCCCTGGTGGCCTGAGCTTCCGGTGGGGCGACCGCCCTGGGGATGGCCTCTTGCTTGGGTGTATGTCTCATCCACTCGTCGAGTGAGGTGGTACAGTCTATTGAGGACCGCTTGAAGTTGTTCCACTATGACCAGGTTTTGGACATTCTTGGTGTTCCTCACCATGTTAGCTGAGGCTTAGGAGTTGGTTCTTTTAGTTTTAACCAAGTTGAGGGAAGTCTTAGCGATGTTTCCAAAGACGACACCAATTGTTGATGCTCGGATTGACTGAGATCAACACAGTAAATTTACTCCCTTGTCGAGTTGGAGATGAGGTATCCGAAGTTTGGAGTTCGAGGTTGGAAGGCGAGGTCCACGAGTCAAGGTGCTTGAATACGTGTGAGCTGGTTCTGCGGGGAGGAGAGGGTCAGAGGCCTCGGGTGGGGACCTGAGGCGAGGACTCCGACGGTCAAGTTAGTAGCGATGTGCGGGGTGGATGAGATCCAAGGCGCACACACCCATACAAGACCATAGGAGAATAGGAGATCTCAAAGACTTGTGAGAGTGCTTGAGTTCCAAATCCTTTACCTAGGGGGGGAGGCACCTCTTATTTATACTTGAGCTCACTGGGGGGTTGTAGAGCCCGAACAGTTGAAATGGAGTCCATACGTGAGGAGTGTGGCCATCCGAGGCCACCAGGTGACGCTATGCCATTGGTTCTACAGAGTCCGCTGAGGTCAGGCGCGCATCATGCCCTCATTGGACGCGACCTGAAACATGCCCTTGGACGCGTGTAGTTGACCGAGCCTACATCAGATTGGATTGGACCTGGTCCGTTTATAATGGATTCACATTGGACTGAGTCGGATTGGACCAAATCCAGTCCAATTGACACCCCTAATTGGTAGGTGGTAGGTGAGATGGTGAATGCGGTCATAGTAAATCAGGAATGGACAAAAAAGTATACCAGTTAACCAGTTAACCTATGTATTAACAAAATAACTCTTTTCGGTTTTTTCTGACAAGAAGGGGAAAATTAAGTGTCATAGTCACTCATTGAAAGCACTTCGTCAACAAACCTCTACCCCCTACCATGGCCAGAATACACTTTTTAATGGTCTATCCTTACTTTTATTTTACCCTACTCATAGGGTTATTGATTCCTCCACCTCAATGTGATTACTCAACGATAATGGTAGATATGCTACCCCTACTCTATTGGGTAATTTTGCTACTTTTGTGGATCACGGATGCAATGGCTCAACAACAATTGAGTTGACCACTTGACCTAGTGAGTAGTGACCCGTGATATGATTTTCAAAGTAGATGCTGTAGTTAGAGAGAACAATTTTTGCGACCCATGTGACCTGAATGAAATATTAACACACCAGACTCAGAAATATCAGTTGATGTGATGTTTTGAATTTATTGCAAATGCTGGTGTGAGGTTGGTGTGAGGCAGGGGCATTAGGGCATATCCCAATTCATTCCATTTTATTGAGGGTCTTGACGAAGACCAAATTGGATTTGGTGCTAACAAATTTTAACTCATTCTATTTTTATAAGTATGGAAATATTTTTAATGCATTTTTAATGCACGGCTGGAAAGGGCAATGAGAAAAGAGGAAACACAAATTTGTGAGGATTGAATCCGCCCTCCTTCAAAATGGGAATGCAAACTTGGATGAGATAGGTATACTCTTGAACACTAGATAAGTATACAATCACTATGTTGACACATGTCTTTTAAATATCTCTCACCCATTTTAATTATACTAGTAAGTGGGCACGTGCTATGCATGTGGTAATTGTAGATGATGATAATGATAATAATATTATATTCAAAATTTTCTATAAATTTTATATTGTGAAGTTTCAAGTATCATTGATAGGCCTACTTGCCTAGCTAGATTTTTTATTTTTGTAATATTTAACCTTCTTTTGTGTATCTTTCTTTTGTTCATTTATGAAAAAAATGTAAAATTTAAATAGGGAGAATTGAATGGAGTGAAAAATAGTAGTTCCATTTACAAAACCTTGTAATTAAATAGGGACTAAATTTAAAAATGAGTATTTTAGTCAAAACAAAGTTCCACAATCTTATTCATATTTATAATAGTAGTGTAAATATAGAATTATATGTGTTCAATTTTTTCTATAACTTTTTTTGTATTGTTGTGTGTAAAAATAATTTTGGTATATCACACTTACTTTTTGTTTAATATGATAAATATATGATATTATACATGTGCCTAAACATTTTTTTTGCAAAATTTATGTATTTTTATATTTTATTAACTTTTATTATTTATTTATGACATTAAAGGTTAACATGTTTAACCCAAATTTTGAACTATTGATCTTTTCCAAATAGTAAAGTAAGTTCATTTTTGGTCAGTTCTAAATTATATATTTTGTTTTCATTATCAATAAAATAATTATTGTTTATTACACTTATTTTTTAATTTGATTAATAAAAATATCATAAATGTCTCTAATTTTTTCTACATTTATTGAAAATTTCTATATTTATTTTTATTTTAATTTTTTTTACCAAGCTATGACTTTGTAGATTGATCAATTTGATTCGGATGGTTGAATTGCTTAGCCACCACTTGGATGAAAAATGGTTTTGTTTTTGAGTCAGTTTTAAAAAATATGGGTTTACATTGTTTAAAATATTGGCACATATTTAATTTATTAAGAGAAAATGGGATTTAATAATTTAAGTATGAAACTTAATGAGAAGGTATTAAATGAGATGAGAAGTTATAATTGAAGTTACATTTTCAACATTACCATTAGAGATTGACTAAATACACAACTATGCCATTTTATTAGCCATTAAAGCTAGCATTAAAGATGTAATAAGATGGCTTTTATACCCTTTCTCAAACTAGGAAGAAGAGGGTAATTTTAGTCAAAAAAGTGTTTTATATTGCATTCACACTTTTATATATAGTATAGATATGCACCACTACTATGGTAAAATGAGGGGATACTAACTTTGTACTATGGTTGGGAATAGTGTGGTGTGTTTTGGAACACATCACCCCACCATGGTGTGTTTCAGAACCATGGTTCTATAACAAACCAAGTGTTTTGTAGACTATGGTGTGGTGTGTTCTCAAATACACCACCACAAGATGATTGTTATATGCTTATAAATTCACATGTACAAGATAATTTTAAATGTTATATGCCTAATAAATCATTAATTATATCATATTTTTTTATCGTGATTATAAGATTTTGATCGTTTTCACTTACATGAACCTTATATTTAAACAAATTACTACACAAATATTGCATTTTTTTTATTTGGCATCCATGAAAAGCAATTGAAACAAATTCATCTTTCACCAAGAATACACTACCAACATAACTTCAAAATGACCTAAAGTCGCACTTCTCAAACATGGTTATCACCTCAAAATTTTCAATGCTTGATTTACACAAAAATGACATGATATCAGCCATATATGGTATAGCATGTGGCTTAGACAGCAACTCTGAACAAGACTAATTTGAGGTGGTGAGAGAGCTCACACAATCATTTTCTACAAGTTTGCTAGTAATCTGGTCAATTTTATTTTTGCCCAACAAATTTCATTTTCTTTGCATGTTTTGATTAATACCACCATAGGAAAGTTGATTCCACAATTATTCTTAAGCTGCATTTTCTTCATTTTCTGGAAAACCATGGATGTAACTGATAAAATCAGCCTTAGCTTCACACAATTTGAATATTTGAGAACACCTGCATATCAAAACCTGTTAACTAAGATCATTCCACCCAAATGTTAATTGGGTTAACTAATTGGATCACCTATGAGACATGAAGAAGAATACTGCTAAAGACATATCTCCATTCACCCGTACCTTCAGATTGGTTCAAAATTTTATCTACTCTAATTCCATTATCTTATAGAAACAAGAAAAAGCATTCCAACCCTATTATGTTTCTATTGTAGCCATCATGGTGGATCTTGAGTGTGGTGCATAAATAAACTAAGGCCTTGTTTGGTTCGCGGGAATAGGAGTTTGTAATCGGAATCGGAATGGCATATTCCAACTGTTTGGTCAGGCAGAATCAGAATTCCATTCCCATTCTTGCTGGAATAGCATTCTCCCATTTGAGGAAATGGCTATTCCCTGCCCTTCTCTAGGGAATGAAATCCCATTTCTATTGATTTTAATTCCTATTCTCATTCCTATCTGAACCAAACAGACTATGGGAATGGACTATTCTGATTCCAACTATAAACCAAATGGACCCTAAGTTAGATATTTAACCTGATGGCTTCCAAGAATAGAAAGGGTAAAGAATCTAAAGAAGTTATTAATTGTTATGTGCAACTGTTAGTAGAACAGGACAGGAGTGCTAAAGAGGAGAGAATGTAGCTTTCAAGTTAGTTAAGAAGAGAAAAAATAATATTCCATACATTAGATTTTTCATGTTTTAAGATGGTAGCATGTAGACCTCTGATATGGCAGAGAGCATTCTCAAATGGATTTTGGGTAGCTAGCGCTAAAGCAAGAATTATAGAACTAATTGCAGTTCACATATACTCTTCTTGTTATTAGCAACTGTTTACCCACTTATTGAACATGATCCATGATCTATGATTCTAAATAAAGTATTCTCATACATGAAAGCAATTCACAATAAAAAACCTTTCAAGTTTTATAGCTCATATACTCTAGCTTCTATTGACAAGTGGGGTTCTAATTAATTAATTAGTTAATTAATTAAAGGTTAACATAACCTGGTGCAACCTGAAATATCTAAGCTGGATTAGTAGCAAAAATAAAAAATCTGAATTTTCTATGAAGTTAAACATTTTTTGTTTTTTTATTTCATTTTAAAAATAATTAAAATTTACAATATCCTATGAAAAATAGATCCAAATACATATATTAAGTAGGGGTCTCCATGGGGCGGGGATTGAAGGACCCGGGGGAAATTTCCATCCCTAATAATCGTTGCTATATTGTTAATTTCTTAGATAAACAACATTTTTATTTTCTTATTGTATATATTTTTAATCTTATTTATTGTCAATTAACCCCATTTGTGCCTTTGTAGCTGCCAAGAGAAAACTCTACTACAAAGTAACAAGTAAAAGATGAATAATGTTTACCCAACTAACAAAAGTGATTATCCACTCCCTAAATTTCTTTTTTTTATATATTATTGATTATAATAATTATCATGTAATCATTTATTCTTTAAAGTTGTAATAATTTTTGTGCATTAAGATTATGAAAAAAAATCTAATATTAATAATGTTTTTATTGATTTTATTTTAAGAAATTATTTTTCATATATATATATATATATTCACACACATTGGTCCATGTTTTACATACTAGTGGCTGTAAACATACGCGCACGGAGTCCCCAACTCTTCCCAAAGCATCTGAACCAACTCAACGATGTTCAGCTCAACCCTCCCAAACTAGCACTTACAGGAGTTGAGAAATTCAGAAAGCTGTTAAGTCATGTATGGTAAAAAACCGTAAAACCCAAAATAGATTTACATGAACCAAACAAATTAATTTTTCGGTGAAACTATCTTAGCTAGCTTCTCTAAATCTGTTTAGTTAATGTAACTCAATCAACATAAAAAACCTTCCAAACAGGCCCTTATACTTGAGAGGGCTAAATCATATCTTTTGGCTTGCGGAAGGTGGGCCTCACATAGACAGCTAAGGGTGAATCTTGGGTTGGTTTGAGTTCTGGGACCATTCAAATTTTGACAAAAGGCCAAACTGTTTGGTCATTTGAAGAACTGTCTAATTCATACATTGCAAATTGGTAATCATTGATCATTTGAAGTGCTATTTTACTTCAGTCTCATGAATAGCTTATTTGGAGCAGTTGAACCAGTTTTTGCCCTCCCAAACAGGTCCTAAACAAGCCAAAGAGATTATTATCTTACATCGGACCACGTTTTGAAAACCAAATCCCAAATCAAAGCATGAAAGGTTTTTTTTCGGTTTGTTAAGGTGCAGTTTAGCAAGTTTTTTTTGAAAGATTTTTCAGTAGATCCCAAAAGATGATGTAAGTTTTTGTATAAGATTTTAACAATCTAAAGACTGTTTGGTTAAGGTGCGATTTTCAGGTGTTTTTTCGCATGAAGATATGATAAAAAATTGAAGAGCTCTATTTGGAGCTTTCTTAAAATAGTCCAAAATGGATTCACATATATTTTCAGTGTCATTTTTTAGTGGTTAGTTCTTTTTTCAACCAAACGAAGTAAAGTCTAAAATGCGGGTTGCCAGACTTCTACAACAGGCGACAGCCTTTGCAGAAAAATGTGCCAAACAGGGCCTCGATTTGACCTCAAGTCACTAAAACCGGAAACCAAAAGTAATAGATTCACCATCGAACGGGAATTGGTTCATTTCATGGTTTCCGGTTCAACCGGGAAGTGCTGCCCGATTTTACATTGCAGAATTGATCGTCCATCCGTCGCAAGTCTGGTCCAAACCTCCCGACAAGACAACGAGGATACGGACAAACCTGAAAGATAGAACGAAAGGAGCGTTTCTGGTATGAATTGCCCACATGCTCAAAAGCAAATAGCAAGACTATTTTAGTTTCATAGCCCTCACTGTACAGTAAATTAGTCGTCACTTTAGCGGGAACATATTTCCAAATTATAAAAGATTTTAAATTATTTGCTTTCCCTGTTAACAAATGATAGGATGCCACGTGTCTAAGATATTACGAACAGACAAAACGAGACAAACAAATTTCATGAATAAAAAAATAATAAGTATCCGTTTCAAGTTCCCAGCTTCTACGATCTTCGATTCTTCTGTCCCAAATGTCCAAATTTTCTCTGTTTTTTGTTTTATTTTTTCCCCATTTCTGAAGCATAAATCGAGCTCTTTTTTTGCAGTATGTAAGCCCTAGATTGCCTATCTGATCTCATGAAGTTTCAACCGGTTCTTCAGTTCATGCGTTCCCTTCTTTCTCTTTACCTATAGTTTTGTAATTGGATCGGCTTTGTTCTTCGAGAATTTATTTCGTGCATGTATAATTTTTCTTCGTGGCTTGTTGGCATTGTTTTTGAGTCTGAGAACTTTGATCCTTGGGTGGGTGGTGAAGATATATGATCTCTGATTGGTTTAGCAATGGAGTTAAGGCAGAGTGCTTCGTACTTGGTGTTTGCTCCCAAGTGCATTCCTTGGGGTGCGAAGTGGAGGGATGTTCAGTTCCACCTGAGATTCCAGAGGAACCCGGGGACGGTCTGCAAGAGTGGGAGAAACACTTTGAGTATGATCATAACTGGGAAAAGTTCTGAGAAGTTTGCAAGAACAATGCCATTAATTGTCAATGCAAGTGATGGGAGCACTGAATTGGAAACTGCGGTAGTCGAGAAGCCAAGGTTGCGAAGGTTCGAAGTGTTTGCTGGTAGTCCGATGCCCTTTGGTGCCACAGCAAGGGATGGTGGAGTGAACTTCGCAATCTATTCTGGCCATGCAACATCGGCTACTCTTTGCTTGATCAGCCTTTCGGATTTACAAGAGGTAAATTGGTGGCGATTTTCTCAGTTCAAAGTCAATTTTGTTCATGTATATTGCGATCTAGAAAACATGGCGGTAAAATTTGCCTGGACTTTATATTCGCGATGGTCTCTCATGCTCCCAACAGATGCATGTTAATAACTGTTCTTTCTATGTGTAAGAATTACAGAATTAGAGGCTTCTAATCGTAAAGTGTTACTTAATCCTGATTGTTAGTAACTAATTCTCGACTAGTTTATTGGTAGTATTTTGTATCTAAGAAGTTGTTGAGTTATCTCGTGTCGACGAGTGGTCTTTAGACTGAGCATGCTTAAGATCTGATTTTAACCTTGGCGCATGAAAGCTGAAGTGGCAGTCAGCTTAACGGCACTCTATAACGTGGTTGTAAGCAGTTTTATCTTGGTACATGGCACAACTTCCAAATATTCATGTGGCACATTAACCTCCAAAATTTGGTATGAGACATGAGAATAAATGACATTTATTACATAAATAATACAAAATGTAGTAGAAATAAGAAAGCGTAATTGTGTACTTCTTTTTGGATATATCAGTTCTTCTAATCTTGTTTATGAGCACTAAGTACCAAGATTTTATGCTGATTTCATCTTGGAGCATAGCCGAGATGTTACAAGAAGTTTTGTGTCAGGTGCAAAGTCTTAGTACAACTATATCCCTTAGTTGAAGTGTTATCTGGTAATACTGTTTATAAGAGTCCTGTTTAATCTAGATTTTATTTTGAAAAAAAATCATAAAAGAAAAGGAAAAACACACTAAGAACTTTTGTAGTTTTATTATTAGGAAAAAAGTGTAATTCATAATGGGTTAGTTCATAAGTGGACTCTAATACTCTATACAAGTGGCTAGTCCTGTAGTCCATAAGGTTATCATCAGAAAGATGATGTTGCATGCTTTGTATTTCAGTTGGTTCATCTTATTCTTTTCTTTGGTGCTTCCTTGTCACTAGCAATTATATCAGATTTTCTAACATGTTTCTAACATGGGGAACACAAAAATACTGAATGAAAAATTTCATTGTGTTGATGATAATAAAAAATGTCATTAGCAGGTGGAAATATATAATGAAGCTAATTGGAACTTTAATTTATCTCTGAAGTTAATGATGCTAGAATAGTTGAACATGCTTGTGATGGGTGAACAATTGCTGCTTAATCTTTATTTTGCCAATGAAAATATGGATTCTCCCATATTTGTCAAAAAAAGAAAAGGATTGCGCCATCAACAATGACCACCTAAAGGTTTCTTTTCAAGTTTTTTATTTATTTATGTTTATTTTTTCATACTCCTGAGGATCAGATTTTTGTCTGCAATGACATATGGATAGAATGAAAATGCTTAGAGGAGATAAAGGGAGAACAATAGCACTTAATGCAAGGTAAGTCAGTCTTTGCTGGATGCCATGCTTAGAAGGTAAGGCACAATTGGAGATGCTTCATATGATGATTGGAATTATCATGTCCATACTCTGTAGTAATGTTACACTTTAGCCGTATGGAATTGAATTATCATAGAACTTAGCAAACTTTGGTGTTTCACTACTCAGTGTTGGATTTCTTCCTAGCTTTGAGAGGAATAAGACAAGGAGGCCCACTTTCCCCCTTTTTGTTCATCTTGATTGCAGATGTTTTAGGGAGACTGATTTATAGAGCTGATTTGAGAAATTTGATAAGGGGCTGGAGGATGGGAAGGGAGGATATACTACTAATACACCTGCAACTTGCAGATGACACAATATTGTTCTGTGAGGGTGGGAACATGAGTATTAGGAATTTGAAATTGGTCAAAGGAAGACAACAGATTTTGGACCCCCTCACCCTCGGGCTCTTTCTCTTGTGCATCCCTGTTCAAAAATTTAACTCAGCAACCTGCTATTCTTGGTTTGTCCTTCCTTGTTAAAGAGGTCTGGTATAGGCCCATTCCTCCTCGGATTGGGAGTTTTTATTGGGAAACTTTCCTGGAAAGAATCAATACAAGTGATCTGGTTCAAAGCAAGAGACCCAAGACTTGTTTATCCCCACATAGGTGCTTTCTTTTCAAGGTGGATGGGGAATTGGGTTACCACTTGTTGGTATCTTGCCAATAAGCTAAAACTATAAGGGATTGGGTTTTCTCACTTTCTTGGGTGTAGCCAGAACCCTCCAATGAATGTACAAAGCCTGTTTTCTCCTTCCTTTTTTACCTGTCCAATGAAAAGAGGTAGGATCATGTGGAGGTGTTTGAGACTCTGAGGGCTGCAGTGTGTTGGATATTATGGGAAGAAAAAAACTCAAGAATTTTTTAAGAAAAGGAGAGAAACATTGAAAACCTAATAGAGTTGATTCATATTAGGGTGGCACATTGGCTGAAACCTTTGGATTTATTCACAGACTTCACTGTGGATGACCTGTTGAGGAGTTGAAAAGAGATAGCAAGTTCTGCCCAGATTAAAAGGGACACAAGTCCCTCTTGGATACCTCCCCCCTCGGGCTTCCTAACTGAATTTTGATGGCAGCAGCCTTGGGAACCCAGGTTTGTCAGGTATTGGGGGAGTTTTCAGGAATGAGGAAGGGATTATTTCAGCTATTTTCTCTGGCCCTATTGGAGAGGGTGACTATAAGGGTTAAGATTTTTGCGGCATTGGAGGGAGTTCAAAGAGCAAGAAACCTGAACATTAGGAGACTGATAAGGAGACTCAGAGGTTGTGGTAAGATGGATAAAGGAAGACAAGACTGCAATTTGGAATTACAACAGCGAAAGGAAAAAAATTAAATGGTTGGCAAAAGATATGGAGATAAAATTCAGTTTGGTGAAGAGATCTGCTAATTCATTTGTGGATGGGCTAGCAAAGCAAGGGGTGATTAGGGATTCTTTGTTTTGGGCTCATTTCTAATCTTGTAATTTTGTTTTGCTGGTTGCAGGGGAGTTAGGATAGTTTACCTCCCTCTGTTTGTACGCATATTTCCTTTTAAATCTTAATGAAATTCCATGTTATTGATCATATATATATATATATCTTTTGAATGGTTGGCAAAAGATATATGTCTGATCTTATATTTTTTTGGTAGAGATAAATATATCTGATCAGTCTTATTGTAAATTATGCTCAACTAACCATTTCCATCTACCCCATGCAGAATAAGGTCACAGAGCAGATTTGCCTTGATCCATTAATTAACAAGACAGGGGATGTTTGGCATGTATATCTGAAGGGGGATTTTGAAGATATGCTGTATGGATACAAGTTTGATGGAAAATTTTCCCCTGAAGAAGGACATTACTATGATTCTTCTCGGATTTTGTTGGATCCATATGCCAAGGTCAGTATGTTCTTAATCAATCTCTTGCCGTTAAAGAAATTTAAGGTTCCTTTTGATATCCTGGTGAAGACAGATATTTATTTTCCTTTTCCATTCCAATTTCCTGAGGTTTGTTATAGCATATGCCTTGGGCATCTGCAGACATGAGCCTATGTGCAAAAATATAAGCCACATAGCCTTTTAGATTCTGACCTTGGATTTAGAATTTGTTTGAACTCTCAAACTTTGGAAGTTTTGTTTAGTTTCTGTGTGTAGGTAGAGCATATGTCAAAGAGTTAAGGCTTCTGTAAATTTTTACCAAAGATGGGGAATAAACAAGAGATAATTGAGAGATATAGAGGAAAGAGAACAAAAATAGGAAACATAATGGTAGAGAGGGAAAGAAATAGGAAGAAAGGGGAAAACTTATGAAATAGGAAACATAATGGGTTTCCAAACCCAGATTCTGAGCTATAATAGCTCCATCCCAACTCAAAGAGCAATTAGAGAAAGTCCTGTGTGCTTAAGTCACCTCTGCTACGAGGGTGGGGGCCTTTTGGGTCAGTGAGGATGATGATAGATGTAAGTTAATGTCCCCCAGCTCTTTTCCTTGTCCAGTAATGTGCTCATTTAAGTGACCATGTGACCTAGGTTTAGAATCGGTCTAGATCTCTGATATGCAAGGACCCCATCTGGTTTGATCAGCTGTGGGCCTTGGGTCACCCCTTGGGTCGCAACATGGTGCCTTTTCAACTTATTTGACCCACCTTCCTGTTCCTGCCATTGGTTCAGTGTATATTGGCCCTTAGATCTGCATCCAGCAGCCCTAATTTCTCTCTATCTATGGAAAACTACCCCTTTGCTTCAGAATGAAGGAACACAATTTCCTTAAATTTTGAATTCAGCCCAGGCTTGTTTCTCATGCTTCCATCCCCTACGCCTGGCACATCAACACTATTTTTTTTGATAAATGAGAGTAGTTTTATTAATTCAAATAAAAAAATACAATCAGCCTAGGAAGAGGCACGAGATGTTACCTCCCCTGAGGGCTGAATCATATACACTAAACGTGCCCAAGCCTGAAACACAAATTACAAAGTAGCCCAAAACAGATCTCCCCTTGACACCCCTTGCTTGGCCAGAGAATCAGCCATTGCATTTGCTGATCTGCTGACCCACTGAAACCTGACAGTCATATTTCTTGTCATTCATTTAACTTTCTTTAACAGGTCCCTAAATTCCCAACAAACTGTATCTGGGCTATTTAGCCAGCCCACTACTACCTTGGAATTCCCTTGTACCGCTGCTAGTAACTCTGCCCTAATCACCTTGACCCACTGGTCCTGAAAAAAGAGACAACATATTGCTGTCTTTATTTCTTAGATTCCCACCAATTCCGGATGGCCCTGGGTTACCTTGGCATCTGCCATCAAAATTCAATTTTACCACTCCATCCGGTGGGGGTTTCCATTCAACTTGTGATTTGTTCTTGGTGGATACTGTAGAAGCCACTGCTTCCCAGTTTCTCCTTAAGGCATCAAAGGAGAAATCTGCCAACAATTGTGAAGATTTCAACCATGAGATTGTCCTTGTCAATATGCATTCCTTGATTTCAGCAAGACTTCTTTCCTTGCCACAGTGTGCTTCCATAGAAGAAAGCAACCAGACCGAATAAGATTCCTCATTGATTTTCATCTCCACCATTCTGGGTACTGCAGTAGGTTTCACCCCTAGCAGAGTGAAAGAAGCTGCGCTAAGATATGAGGTATCCAAGTTCTCCAAGGTTCCACCGCATTTCAAAGCCACTTAACTGAAGGTTTCTTGAGTCCACGCATGAAAGGGGAGACCTACCACTTTCACTTGAAAGCTTCCCAGGTGTTCTACCCTATTTGCACTTGGGTTCCATTGCCCTATCACCACTAATTCTTCTGAGGTTTGGATTGGGAGGGTGTGTATTTCCTCTCCTAACTTCCAACTTCTTGCAAGCCCTTACCTTCTTGAAATGGATGAAGGGTAAAGGATCCTTCAAGGTTTAGTTTAGCTTTGATGTCTTTTTTTAATCGTCTCCAGTTTTTCACCATCTTGTCTGCATAGACAACATATTTCTTCCTCCATTCCACAAAACATTGATTCGTGATAACACTGGATTCCTCACTTGTCTGCTTCCCCCATTGACTGTTGTTTCCTTGCTTGATTTGCAAATCCTTCAAGCTATCTTCTTCTCTCTAGAGGAATTCCTGTAGGGGTTCTATAAACCTGATCCAATCATTTCTTTGTCTCCCCAAAGGGATACAAATTATCTGTTTCCTTCCCTCCCCAAAACACTTTGTTACTGTGACAAACCAACCTTTAGGGTTGTGTCTAACATTAGCCACATACAATTTCCAGCCCCTTTTCAATGTATCCTTCCATTTTTGTACCTTTCTTGATACCAAAGCTACATGTCACGACCTGACCGCTCCTGTTGGCTAAGTTTTGTGGCATTCACTTGGCCCTCCAAGCAAGTCATCCAAACTGCACGCCCAAGATCCTTCTTGCTAGGTTGCTTAAGTGTTAAGGACACACAACAAGGCACACTAAGTAATGTAAGAGGAAAATATTATATTGCAGTATGAAAGAAAGCTTACAACTCAAAGAATGCTCTCACAACTTGTATGGATTGCAAATGGAGGGGACCCCTATTTATACACTAACCTCCTCAAAGAATCCTCTAGAACTATGTACACTTGGCATCATCTAGAAGCACCTCTAGAACATTCTATCTTCTACACTCTTCTAGGGGATGTCCATTCCATAAGGTACGAGAACACTCTAGAGCAAGTGTAAATTAATCCAAACCACTCTAGGGCATTCCACACAAATCCAGATTGTTCCACAAGGTTTTGGAAGGTTGGCTTATGCGTCCCATTGGTTGATCACGTCCTTGTGGCTTGCCACAATCAGCTCATTTGCTCGTACGTACGATGCTTTTGACGTGGGAAAACTTTTCCACTTGATTGTGATCCACCTATGGAGTTATCCTGGGAAAGGTGGCCATGGTTTCTGCAATAATCTCCTCAGGTTCCCTGCCCTTTGGATATGTGGCCTACATTATTGCTATAGCTGCCCATTTTCTCCAATCTTGACTAGTTGCCTGACCCCTACCAATGTCCTTGCCTAGGCCTCTGTCTTGGCATGTACCTGCATACACAATGTAGAGAACACTGATGCGGGCCCCATGACTGTGGTCCCCACTGTGTTCGTATGACAGCATGTGTAAACCTTTGTTAGTCATGTCAGTGTTAGTTGGTAGTTATCTTAGACAATTTGTTATTTATTTCAGTCTTTTATTTGTTTTATTTGCCATGTAAGTATTAAGGGCAGTTCTGTCCTTTCCTACATTTAGTGAACATAACCTATAAATATTAAGAGAGTGRYGGCGGCAGACTCATTCAATCTGTCCCTCCTTTCAAAACCCTTGTGCACTTCTGCTTCTTCTTCTTTCTTCTTCCTCTTCCTTCTATTTTTCTCAATCCGAAATCAGTTGGGATTCAAGACTGATTGTAGTCTTGATCGGCTACTTGGTATCAGAGCCTCTCTAGGGTTTCTC